TATCCTACACTACGGACGCCCTAGTGTATGCACAGTCCTTGTGATGCCAGAAATGCTTACCCCTCTTTCCAGCGCAAGGCATACATAAGCGGGGGGTAAATTTACCCCCCAGATTTGCAATAACCATACACCGGCTATTTCCTCAAGACACTCTATTCCACATACCTTTTTTACCCGTGCTTCTCCTACACTACGGACGCCCTAGTGTATGTACAGTCCGTATGATGTCAGAAATGCTTACCCCTCTTTCCGACTCAAGGCATACCGGAGGGTAAATTTACCCCCCAGATTTGCCGATCACGCATCTTCGTGCCTGCCAACGAGTGCACCCGGGTTGTTCCAATGTACCCTTCCCAGTCAGCGATGTCACATTTACATTCTTTAGCGCAAAGTATGTACATAGCAACCTTCCTCCCAAAACATGTCATCCCTACATGCTTTGCCGACTATGTAACTAGTACATCCGGTGCGATTCGGCTAGCTTTCGACCTCTCCCCCTGGCCTCAAGTTCCATGTGTATATGCAATGTATATATATATACACTATATAATCATATATTATCGACTCCTGATCAAGACGTATATACAAATGCCTGTCTTTGACCCCGCCAGGTCATTGTGAGATGCCGAGAAGTCCCCCTCCAGGCTCCTCAGTCAGTGTTGTCTTCAACAGGAAAGGAAAGATGTTTCAGCCTGCAATACACTGGCTACTAGGAGATAGGGGCCGTACTGAGTGGATAAAATTGGGGACGTCAGTGCCTGGACTTTATATCTGTGTGCCAGCCTGCCAGCAACCTAACCGGGGGGTCTATCCCTCAAAAGAATCAATCCAAGTAAGGAGTTGATGTATCTTTTTTTTTGGGGGGGGGCATGATTTGAGGGTCAGTGCATTACAATTATCCAGACTTAATGTATTGCATTTCCTAGAATTTTATCCAACCAGTAGTGGGAGTAGAAAGGAAAGAAAAGATAGAAAAGATACAGATTAGAGAGAAGAATAAAGAAACATTGAATGGCAAAGACGATAATTATGTATATAATAAGGAAACAAAGACGTCTGCAACAATCCTTACCAAAAGAAAGAACCTGGATGAAAAACCATTGCTCGCATCCATTGCTCGCATGCCCGGGGCACATGCAAAATGACAGCGCCTGGAAACAGCTCTATGCTTTTGACATCTTCATCCAGCCCACAGTTTTGCTTCAAGGATGCCGTCAACGTTCTCCAAGCCATTGCACGGCTTGTTCTTTTGGCAGGCATGCCTTCGATCTGCCTGATGATTGCAGCCTCACGCTCCCCTTGCTGTTGCCAATTGCGAGGTTTCCGGTGAGAAGCCAATGTCCAGAAGCCTTTTCTGCCCTTCCACGGATGCGGTAGCCTCCCCCCCTCAAATTGGACAGAAGAACGCACAGCGGGCCCAAAGCAGGCTCAATGTCTTTCATCTCTTTGTCTCCAAGGCGGACTCGTTTCGATGCCGCTGACAAAGTCCTGATATCATGTGTCTTCGTCGTGACCCCGAGCAAAGCACTCAAATCAGGATCACCAGGCTCTCCTGAGAAGAGAAAGAGTGATGAAGAGACAATTCATGGCATGAGCTTTGTCGACTCCAATATCAGGGAAAGTCAAGAAGTGTTGTTTTTGTTTGATTGATGATTGAAGGCTTAATTTTGTGCATTTCTCTGGTTGACAATAAGAAGGTCACATCTGGATATTTTTCCAGCACTGAGATGTGTGCAAACACATCTGGATTTTGCAAGCACATCTGCTTTTCGGGAGCCGTTTCGTCGATCCTATTCGTCTAGCTTGCTAACCTCAAGCCTTCCTAAAATAATATTTTTGCATTGGTCAGCTAGGAGCAAGAAGCTACTCGTAGCTCCTGGCATTACTACTAGGAACAAGAAGCTACTAGTAACAAAGGGCATCGCTACTAGAAGCAAAGTAGCATCGGCTATAAATCTCACAAGAACAACCTCGACTGACCTGAATCCGCATACAATCACTTCATTGAGCTAGGGCTTAGGCTTTGCAAAATTTAGCCCCGAGCAAGAAGGAGCTGTCTTCGCAATGAATGGCACTTTAGCCGTTTTCATGCATTAATCAAAATTTTCGGTTGACTGCCAACAAACTCATCAAAGACAAAGAGCATGGGCTCGCGTCATCTTCGCAATACCCCAGGACTTGTAGGAGCCGGGATCAATACCGGAGGTCCTTCAACAGTAGCCGAGTTTTGGCACAATCATCTCATCAAAATGTGGCGTTGCAATTTAGTGCACGTGCATGTGTGTGTGGGCACGCTCCAGCCAGGCGCGGGTCAGGTACGCTGCGGAGGTGAGCAGTGGGTCCAAGAATATGTGAGAGATTGAAATATCCCCGCGCTCAGCAGTTTAGTATTGACATGCACCTCAACACTACTAATGCATTCTTGCCCCAGAAAACGATAAGAATAAAAACGATAACAATGATTATACCGGCACATCTCATGGGTTTCAACCTATCCCATTAACCATAGATAAATGTTAATGGAAGAGTTGACTAGCCTCCTCCTACACTCCCCCCTTGCTGAAGGAAGAGGTGAGAACCTAGCTTTCATATCTCACTTTCCATTCAGCAACCGCACTGCCAGTACATGAACCACGAAATTGGCAACGTGCAGACCTGAACTCCGTGGCTGGGCTTTGTGGCCCGGCTCTGTGTCCTTCTCTTGTCCTCCTCTTGGCCGCGCCCTGAACTCTGTGGCTGGGCTCTGTGGCCCGGCTCTGTGTCCAGGCCTTGTCCTCCTCTTGGCCCCTGAGTTCTGTGGTTGGGCTCTGTGGCCCGGCTCTGTGTCCAGGCCTTGTCCTTCTCTTGTCCTCCTCTTGGCCGCGCCCCTGAACTCTGTGGCTGGGCTCTGCGGCCCCGAGCTCTGTGTCCAGGCCTTGTTCCTCCTCTTCTTCTCCTCCTGATAACGAAAACCTTGAAATCTCAAATACCATCTAGAGCGTGACTCTTGACAGATAACCATGCCATATGTGTTGTGCCCACAGTCTTTGGATCATTGGAAGGACGTGTCCTCAAGCTCCTCCAGCATTTTTGCGTATTGGCCTTGGCTGAGATTTTTCCGTGTTCCAACCTCCAGCTACCCGTGGGCTTGCACTTGCCGCGATGGGTCTGCATCGAAGTGTAGGAGATACTCAAACAACCTATAGTATTGTCATGGGTCCACTCTGCTGCTTAGGCTGCCGAGAACGCGACACATCCTCCGACCAGGTGCTGCCTAAATAAATATATTATATATATATATATGTATGTTGATATGTTCAGTTCAGACGACCCAGCAGCCGCCGACTGTAGGGAAAAAGGACAAAATCAGAACTAGAAGAGGAGTTGGTAAGAAAAGAACGGAATATACAAATTGTCAGTAGCTAGAAACTACTAGTAACTAGTAACAAGGGCATCGCGACTAGTAACAAGGGCATTTTTTCAGAACATGTTTCAACTGCCAGGGCATCCAAACATCACCTTCAGGGCTTGGTCTCCTGTGCGTGTGGAGCCTTGCGGGGTGCGAAATTGAAGCAAAGGAACGAAATTGCACGATTTGTTTTTTGTTGGCGACAGACCCCGACTGAACTTGGGTTCCTTTTTAGACACAGTTGAAATCTTATGGTGCTACTTGTTCTGCAGTAGACACATACGTACTTAATAATGATAGTAGTAATATTAATAATACAATCGACGTAGTTTGTTTGCGGCCCCTCTGAATTGAATGGCGATCGAAGCTCACTCACTACTGATCATGACAGAACACTACCAAGACTCGACATACTTGTATTGTTTCAGCGCTTTTGTGTGACCTATGTATAAGTGTTTGCGGCTGGATGTTGCATGCGTGGCTTTGCGAGCTTGGGCGTGTGTTTAGTCCTCTAAATCTATGTCAGTTTCAGCAAGCAGGAGCCTGACTTGGTAGCTGGCCGTGCTTGGGTCTCTTCTTCACCAACTGCTGAGGGCGTGGAGGATCGATATTGGGAAAGGCTCATGCCAGCTATGATTCTGTGAAATCTGGATGGAAAAGACAAGAAACTGGACACCTAAGGTATGCACACGAGAGTTTTTCCCAATTTGATCGAACTGATGACAATGATAAACAACAATATGTTAAATTGGGTTACATATGATCATTGGGGGCCCACAACCCTATGGCAGGAATCTCAAGATGCAGCTCCACGGGATCTCAAGAGCTTCTTGTGCAAGAAAGTGCTCCCCTCAGTTGAGCCAACTCAAAACCCTAGATGCTAAATAGGATTCTGTTTTTATGCATTATTCAACAAAACATGGTTGCGTAGCTTTGTGATCGACTTGGAGGATGTGCGTTTGGTTCACCTATCCGAGTCGGTGTGGTGTCATTCCAGCATCATGGAGACAGCAACAAGCTCCATTCTGCCTACCAGGTTTTACGTCATGTTTATTGCCTATCATTCGTGTCATTGTTCTTGGGCTGTAGGTGGCAAAAAAATCATTACTCCAGCGGGGTAAAAGCCATTGACTCCGATCGCCTTGCAAAAATTAACGAATTTGTCCAGGAAGAGGCAAGAGATGCTAGAGCTCCCAGGTGGGAGCCCAGTGATGACAGCCAGACTAGCACTCGCACCTAGTTCAAAAAATATATATATATATACATATTATATATATAATTCAACCATATTCAACCAATTTCTGACTTCATGTTGTATTGACAGGATTGTAGTGAATACAGTTTGGTACGTTTCTGAAGCTCTGAAGCTGCTACCTGTGTTGTAGACAGAAGTCACAAAGGTCGTCCCCCCAACTAGAACAAGAAGCTACTAGGAGCAAGGGCATCGTTACTAGGAGCAAGGACGCTACTAGGGGCACCTGTTTGAAGTCTTTCAACTCATCGCTTCGCTTGCCAGGGCCCGATCTCCTGATTGCTGTGATCTCCTTCAGGGTGACTGTTGGAGAAACGGTCGTGAGTCTATTTGTCGATGAGGCACGATCGTTACGACTATGTCTTCATGAAATAAAACATATCATGTCATCAAGCCTCTTAAGCAAACAGATTCAAAGTTCTCAAGACTCGTAGCAAAGGGTATCAGTGAGGTCCAAGGCGGTGAGACATGTAAGAATAAAGGTTGAGAAAAAAGGGAATAACAAAGGCAAGGTAGGGGGCCTTATTGAAGGGGCCCTTACCATCTTTGTTTCCGTTATCGTTTCTTATGTTTGACTCCGTCTGAATTTGCCCAGGATATCATTACAAGCTGAGGAGTTTGGGAAAAGACGAGGATCAATCACGAAGCGCAAAGATGGTGCTTCTGTTTGAGTAAATGTTTACGCACCGCTTGTGCTAGTTGTTGTACAAAGACTTGGCATTACATTTTGCCAGGGGTGCTGTTGAAAGAGGGCCTGCATGGGAAGCGAAGCGATTTTGGGACTGCTTTTGCGAGAATTTAGTTGGATTTATTGTGCAATAGTCAGAATGTAAAGCACAACTCCTATTCTTTCTGTGGTGGCATCCGTGAAGCTCTCGGAGTTTTTGGCATAGCTTCGTTTCTATTGGTTTGGCCCATTTGTACAAAGTGCTCAGTAGCTCCCAGAATCACACCTCAAGATGATATGGTGGGCACATTATGGTGCTGGGAACGCAGTGTGAAGCCAATGCAACAACGGGCTTGGTTGAATCAAACCATCCTGTGAGAAAACAGATTGACCCTACCGGAATGTCAGGATGGGTTGGGGTGCAGGGAACTGAGTCGTTGAGGAGGATATCCCTCCAAGGAATGTATTTGTGAAGAATCAGAATGGGCTCAACCGGCCTTCCTTGTGGAATGCCCTTGACCCCTGTGTTTGTATTTGATTCTCTTTCTGAATTGTTTTTGGAGATTGTTCAGTCATTTGGAGAAGGAGAATTGGATCATGCTTGCCTTCCTGCCCAAGGCAGCTCCCTAGAAAACTACATCTGGAAGACCGTGTTCATTTATATAGTGCTGTCCGAGATCTTGTTCAGCTGGAAAGGTATACAACTATACTGGTATATTCTAAACTTATAAGACTATATGTGCAAACAACTCTTTCTGTATACGAGGAAACCAGCTTCCCGGAGATTTAGAGATTTGCCAACGATGAACAAAGCTTGGCATTTGTTCCAAACAAGGCAAGCACGGAGATGGAGCTGTGTTCAAAGTTTTCTAGTGGGGAAGGGCCTTAGAAGTTCAATAACCAGTATATAATGGATGCTGATACAATGACTAGCAGTCTCAATCTGCTTTTTGGCTTTCACACGTGCGCAGATTTCGAAGAAGTTTGGTCATAGCCAGGTCCGAATCTCAGGGAGGATTGAGCAAGATTGGTGAGAGTGATCTCAAATCTCGGGGTTAGCATTCCTCCATTCATACCCATCAGTCATGAATCATGAACATCTATGGTCCTGAATTAGACAGGAAATTGAGGTTTGGAACATCAATCTACAAACACCGGAGCTCATCCAAGATGTTCGCAGTTGGTAGAACAGGTAAGTGAGTGGGCTTGACAATTCAAGGAAGCAAGTCCTTGCAAGTCCTTGCAAGTCCATGCATTTTGCTACAGGCTACAGGTTCACTTGTTTTGTATTTCATCTCTTGGGAGCTGTGGCTCACATCATGTTTTATCCAACTCAGCCTAGCCTGTCACAGGTGGCAGGTCTTTTGGTGAACTTGGATCCCAAGAGTCCCAATGCCAGAAACTCAAATTTGGGAGCTGTGGAATTGCCTGGGAGCTGTGGAATGCAGTTGATGCTTGGCAGTTTTGACCCTGTTTTGTCATGATTTCTGCTCCAGTCAGCACTTTTCATGCAATCAATCCTGAACTGGTGGGAATGACTGGTGTATAGGTGAGAACACTTACTGTACAATTGTTCAGACCGAGTGTGTTGTCAGCAATTCTGTGGGTCCTCGCTCCCCCGGAAGGCTAAGAATCTTTGTTAGACCTAGCGGAGGCCAATACCGTCAGCCTGTTTGTTGATGGTGAGCGGGTTTCCCAGCCAGGGTCTCAGCCTGGCCTGTCGGTTCGCATGCAACTGCAAAGATGTCACAAGGGATGGCAGCCATATGGCGTAATGTACTTGCATCATATATACACATACTGTATATATATATATACTGTATATACCTCTCGCGCCACACGATCTGGTGAAAAGCGATGGCGGTATGCCAGCCACTCTGGGCTGAACATACAAAACCCCTCTATACAGAAAGGAAAGCAACCAGCCTACGGGAAGGGAACCCGCCAAGATTCGATGGTCCGGCCGGGTCCGGCATTCAAAATCTTCGCTACCGCAAGGAGCTCAGCGTCCGTAAAATGCGGTGCAGCATCGACAATTGCGCTTTGGCAAAGGACTTTCCCTGCGCATTTAATAAAGCGAGGGTCAAAGTGCCCAGGGAATGGCTGTACATTTGTGGTGTTCTTGGCCAAATATTGAAAGGCCTGGCGGATAATGCAAACAACTGCATGGATCGTAAGCACCTCGTAGTCACCAACAACACGAAAACCTTGCAGGTGAAAAAGGATTCCAAGCTCACAGAACGCGACTGCAGTTCCATTCGCTTCTTTCCAACGTAAGCCGCGAGCAAAGCGACACACACTGTCCCAATCTTGAGTGTGATATTTCCAGCGTTTCGGCGACGGAAGTGTGTGTGGTATTTTGGGCTTCCATTGAAAAATGCTGCGACTTGCAGCCCACTCCCATTGTGGGAACTGTTTGCGAGCCGTGGCTAAGGAAATGTCTTGCTGGCAATCCTCAACGACTTGTGTATGATTTGGCAAAACATCTGCATGCGTGTCCAACTGGCAGTGTAATTTCACCAGCCATTCTTGGTGAAGTGTAGCCGCCGCATACATGCGTTTCACCATGTCCGGGAAAACCGGCGAGATGCGTTGTGCACAGCTTTTGGCTGCATGGTCAGCAGCCCTGTTGAGGACGATGTGTTCGACAGTTGTCCCTGCACTTGCAGCTGCTTGCTCCGTCAACATGTGGTCAGGCACCTCCTCGAGGACATGGGCTGGAATCCACTGGAGTCTGAGTGGGACATTGTGTTGTAACTGTCTTTCCTCGTAGAGCGACAAAATGGCGTGCCACCAGTCTTGGCATTGCCATGTATTGCCGACTGCTCGACGCCGAATGAGCCGCTCAAAAGTCTTGACGACCGCCTGGTTGTCGCTTGAGGTTCTTGAGCGAACGAAGTGAGTTAAGGGGGTGTGGGGGGTGGTCGTTGAGAGGGACATTTTGAGAGGGTGAACCCAGAGCTTGGTGGGGGAGAGCGCTCCAAAGCGAGGGTCAGAAAAGCAGTGAACATGGGGTTTGGTGATGCGAGTGATGCAATGGACGCCGAGTAGTGCATCATAGGCATCATGAAGGGCCCAGGCTATTGGGACAATGGGCATTGAGCAATCGAGTGGAGACAGGGACCCACGTACAGAGCGGACTGCAGCCGCATCTAAAAATACGAGTTCCCAGGACAACCTGTGACACGCGAAATCCATAGAGAACCGAAAGTGACATGAGCTCAAGTCCTTGAATTACCCACATAGGGCTCCTCCCCCCTAGCAAAAACTATAGCCTCGGTCGAGTGGATGCTTCTCGCGGCGTCCACGCGCACCGAACGTTTTTCCGGCTTGCCGGTGCAGATAGATAGGTAGATTAGATACATACATAGATACATAGATAGAGAGAGAGAGAGATGGAGATAGAGAGATAGATAGTTAGATAGTTAGATAGATAAATTCTATATAGTGCTGACTCATGACGTCGCCTGTTTGCTGGCAGCCCTGGCCGAATCCAGTCAGCCTGGGTCCACGGCCCAATTATCTACACACGCAGGTGCCAAAGTCAAGGCCTCTGAGAGAGAAAGGCGCCGAGTTAATAAGAAAGAGAAGAAGGTGTTTGGATCGTTTAATAAGGCCCCTCTAAAGGAACCAGATTGTGTCTTGGATCGAGCCAGAACATGACTCACTCAAGTCCGGGCATGTGCATCGATAGGCGCACAAATCCTCACTCCTTTGCTAGCCCAAGCTACTCCCGCTGGACCTCCCCTTCTCCGCCGCGGGATCAAACGTCCGTGTCCCGGCTAAGACGCGCCCGTTCACTCTTCCAAATCAAAAAATGCCGCTTGTCGACGTGCCGCAGAATGCATTGCAAACATCAAACACTCCAAATGTAACAAGCACATAAGCTTCTTTTCAAACGCATGCCGTACGCGCGGCGACGCTGACAATAGAGAAGGTCTTCCTGCGCGCCCGCGCGCGCGCGTACGTGGAATCCCACCGCTCGAACTCAGACGGTGTTTCCCCTTCGCTAACGTTGATGTCGCCTTCCAACTTCCATAAGATGCATACCTTCCTGCGTGTGACAAACACATGCCATTGCCTTGTGGTGATGACCTACACCTACAACGTATCGCATTTTTCTTTCACTACTTCTTTCATACCAAACTTATTACCCCAAAGCCGCCCCGCTTGCTTCTCTGCTCCCTCCATCACCATTACATACGCCCCCCCGCATCCGCGGCACCGCTGGACGCCTGCCAGAAAAAGAAACACTCGTCTGGCGGCTGCTGGCTTTCGTCCCCCCCTTCTCAGCTTCATCATGAAAGCCAGCCGATAGGCTGGGCTTGAGGTTCTTGAGCGAACGAAGTGAGTAAAGGGGTGTGGGGGGGGGATGGTCGCGTGGGTGGTACCCAGACCTGGTGGGGGAGAGCGACAAAAAGAGGCGAGTGAAAATGCGTGGTTTTGTGGGGCATTGGGGGGCGTTGTGATGCCGGCGATGTAATTGACGGCCAGTAGTGCGTCATCAGCATCATGAGGGGCTCAGAAGGCTATGTAAACTGTTTTTACTAGGGTGGGAGTTCACGTCGATGAGAGGAAAGGGAAGACAAGGGGACGTGAAAAGCTGGTTAGAAGTCACCGTGCAAGCGTTGGAGGCGGAAGGTTTTGAGTTGCAGGGGCACCCTTATTTATCCGTGGCAAGGTCTAGTTGGTGGACTCAAAAGGGCACCCCATATGGGGAGTATCTAATCACGAAAGCCAGCAGTCAACTCACTTGAAACAGACCTGCACACCTTTTTCGGACTACAGGGGTGCCCTTTTTTCACCTCCACACCGCCCCGACATCAAGACGGAAAAGCGCGCCCCGTCCCAAACCTATGTATTCTACTGTCTACTTCCACTCTTTCTCGAATGACGGCCGTATCCACTTCACCACTTCCGGCTCCTCTTTGTCCACTGTATCCTCACGAAAGCCTGCGATAGCCTCGCCCATAGGCTTCCCACAACCATCTTTGCTCACTGATCAGCAACACGCACCAAGCAAACTCATATAATATATTTGAGGGGTGCCCTTTTCATTTCCAAAACACTCCTGGACCAGGACGAAAAGGGACACCCCCCTTTTAATTCTACCTTCTGT